ATTACTATAATAATATATATTACTATTCTGATTCTTTTTTTTTTTGGAATACGTTTTAAAACTGAAAAAATTTCAGCGCGCGATATGCAGAGTTACAATGTATACTTATAAATTTACACAAGAAATACATATACTTAAGCACCAATTAAAATCCGCTTCGACTGAGTATAAGATTTCTCTCATTTAATTAGATTTATTCTCATTGGTCTAAAAATTTATATGATTCATATATTCAGGTACGGCTTCAAATCAGCTGCTCAGCTGTCGCCTAGCCTATTGTAGTGTAACTGATACGTGATCCCAAATAATACTGTACTCTATCTAATATATTTTATTAACAGTGCACTCAATAAAGTTAATAATATATATATATGTATATATTACTATTAATATATAAATTAATTGTAAAATTATATATCTATGTTGATAGTACTAGATTATTATGACTTTTCTTGTGAGATTTGATAAAATACGAAACAGGATTTGCCGTAATACCGTTATGCGGTAATATCTCTTCATCTAAACGGTCTTGCGTGAATAGCAGATTTGCCAAAAGCGGGAATTTCCTGCCAATCAAGTAAAATCCTCTTTCACGTCCCGTCTCTCAGATCGGTGTATAACGTGGCATACAGCGTATCTCGAAAAGGCAACGAGGCTTTGATTTACTCTCTCGTCCTCCATTCAAGACGTTCCGGCGCGTCGCGTTTTCTCCTTAAATGGACGCCCAACGTCTGAGCGACATTAGAGTTCTCGGTCAAAGCCAAAGTCGCAGTGAGGGTTTCCGTCCTTGATGTTTTCCGAAGAGACACTGCACATCGCGAAAGATCGGAAGCAAAAGAACGTTCGACATACATACACCAAGATTCTTTGTTATGTCGTGTCTTTTGCTTTGTGGATCGTTCGAACAACGAGAACAAAATCAATGATGCGCGTAAAACATGATACCGTTGAACCAGCCGAGTAATATGATCGTGGACGTATTAGAAAGGAATTACGACAACAGGCTCGCATATAGTTATGCTTATTATTTGAAGGTCGCGTTACATCGCGTTCACGATGCAATTCTATCTAAATATGTTCTGTAAGATTATAAGTATAACGTTCAACAACTTAACGAGAAACACGTTTTGCAAAATGTTCAGTATAATATGTAGATTATTACATTATTCGAAATGTTATTTAGTATCGTGGAATCTGATCGCATGGATTTGTGCGTTAAATATCCATGATATCAAGCGAAAAATGTTTTAACAATAGAATGGTGAATGTTACGCGAGAAATTTCAAAATAAAAATTAAATTCAAGACGCGAGAAAGAGACGAGTTCTGTAATATCAAATATTATTTAAAGATATACATTGCAGTAATTAAAATCAATAGCTATACTTGAATTATTAATACTGATAATATAAGAGAAATTATCAATGCTGCACTATAGCGAGCAAAATATAGAATATTCTACATTTATTTACGTGATAGCGTTAAAACCAATTCATATGTTCGCACCGTTTTATATATACATACAATTTTCCACTGTTCTCATATAATTAATGCTAGCTGTCACAATTTTATTCTTATGTTATATTTAATGTATCGGAGTGAATAATATTCGATTACTCTGAATAATATTCGATTACTCGTATTATCAAGCATAATTTATACGAGAACATATATACGAAATTTCTGAGCAGCCTTCATACACGAAAATTCGGTTATTCTGAATTATTGAAATAGTATATTGAAATAGTATGAAATTGTTTCGATACTACACGAATGAAAAACACGAAAAGAGGGTACGAGAGAAAAAAAAGTATGTGCAACTGGACGCGCGAAACATTTTGCATTTATCGCATATTCGAATCGTGGCGAACGTGAACGGGCCCCCTCCGTTCATCGTGAACCCGCCGCGGAATTCGGCATGCTTCAAAATTGCATCGTGGCGCATTCCACGTTTCGACGATTTCCGGTCGAAGGCCGTCGAAGCGATGCATGCGTCGCAAACGCATCAGCGAGCAGTTTCTCGCGCGCTTTCCACGAGACAATAAACACGAGGAAGGAGGAAGGACGATGTTTCACAATAAAAAGAATCCAGTTTACCGTTACCGTCGTTGCTGGAATTCCTACCTTTATACGCGAGGTGACTTCGCGTATCGTGATACATCCGCTACATTCGCGTTGCCGTAATGGGATACGTAATGCGTGCGTCTGCGAATTAGAAATGCCTAAGCACGCAAGGAATAAAGAGGAGGATACCGATTTCTCATTAGATCTCGCAACGTAACATCAAAAAATGTTATCTTGTTGATTCGATCAATTCCGATGTTGAAATACCTACTCGCTTCATTCCGGCGAGTAATTCAACTGATGAATCATCGATCGAGAGAATGTTGACGATAACTTGATAAATCTAACGTTATATCAAGTGCAATTAGTTTCAATAGTATTATTTGATTTAATTCTTTCTTCTGTTGCTTGAATAATCTACGTACGAGTTTCTACGTATATAATCAAATTATTTAAATTACACTAGTCTTAAATTTGAAGTAGTTTTTAATGCAAAAATGAAAACAACTTTTTCAATACATTTTTGGACGTTGAGTTCGAATATGCCGCCAGAAAAATCATCCCATCAAGTCAAATTTTAAACATAAAACATGTCAATTTCAAGGTATAGTGTGTCAATTTTAAAAATATAACTTTTCTTTCCTAAAATTTGCGATAAACGATGAGTAAAACGAACGTTTTTCACTAGAATTTGATTGAAGAACTTGAGAAATGTTCAAAAATATCATTGTTCAAGAATATCGCAATAAAAACGTTCTATTGTAGGCGACTGCTATTGAGCTCTAATATTTGAAACCGATTTAAAGTCATATAAAGAACAAAAATAAATGACTCAACTCACAAACCAATGAACCTTCTCTAATTTGTTTTCCAGTTTCGATAAAATCAAATCATGCATTGGAAAAAATGTTTTTTTTTTTCATATCTCAAAAACCGAATCTATTAGAAATATTTCTAATAGATTATTCTGGAAATAGTAATCTTTATAAGCTCTTACATAAAATCTTGTAATTAATATTATTAGATCGTTGCAACTGAAGTATCGGATTCTAAAACAGGATCCATGAGAGAAAGTTGGAAATTGTAATTGATACGATTAAATATGTCAGCAAATCTCTTGTCAGAAGAGCACTCACGGTACGCTACGCGAAGTAACACTCTCTTTGAGTCGAGAAAAAGAGAAAAATCGAGAATATCGACGAAAGAGATTGTGGGTCAACACTCGCCACTACACGTTCCACTTTCTCCTTTCTTCAGTTTTCGTAGACGGAACTGACGGAAGATCCATGACCTTAAAACAAGTTTTAGTTACCTACAACTATTATTTTAACACAAATATTGTAAAAGCTTCCATGTTTATTTGATACGATTGTGTAATATAGTACTTATTCCAAAAATAATAATATTACAAAAAAATCCACGCAACCAGAGTAATTCTTCATTAAAAAATTCATGTAGAAAAAAGTTGATGCTTTTCCTGTCGATATTAAATAATATCTATTTCCAATATTATAAATTCTACTTTATTAAACATTAAATAACGTTTTTCTCTAAAAACATTTAGAGTCCTTTTTTTTACTTTTATAAATTAAAAATAGATGCCTTCGAAATTGCTTAAAGATATTTTTATTTTTCAAATGTATTTTTGTGAAACATGAGCGATAATAATCTCCGGCTTGCAACTACACGATCAGCTGTGCCAATTTGTAAGAACGAATGGTTAAACGCAGATCACGATAGGAAAAACATCCCCGTGCTCCAGTGGAATCTGCGTAATCGATTCTTCATGCAAATGAGAGTCGCTGTGCGCTATTACAACGCGCGGAGAAGCCGGACTCGCACGGGTGTACGCACTAATCGATTCTCGCGATCGGAACGAGACGAGAGAAGCGGAGCTTTGCGAGGGATTACTACGATTATCCGAATAATTACCCTCTGAGCTTCAGGGACGGGGTGGCAAATAAAGCCGGCCTCTCGATCGTCGGCCAAATTCGTATTCCATCTGCGTATTCGGTTATATCGGCTGACATTCGTGTGGATAATCAACATCGCGTTCTCTCGTAAGTCGAACAATTCTATCAACTAATAAGTAACTAAATAAATGAAATTCGAAAAAATGAATAAACAGAGCATTAAGTTACCAGAAAAAGAGAATATTGCTCTTTATACTCAAGATTTTCAATTTCGCAAAATCATTAACCTTCTTGTTACTTTTTGATATGTCAACGCTCATTCAACGTGAAGATCCGGTTAGTTTTCAATTTCGTTTAATCCGAGTTGCGTCGCTTCCGATTCATACCGAAGGACGTTAATAAAAGAAGCGAATTGGCAGATCGCCACGCTCCGATAAATAGCGAATTGTTCAGTTATTTTTTTTCGTTTACGCGGCTATTAGATACAGATTATTGTGGAGAGAATTGCAACAATGTCCCGAACGCGCGCGTTATCTTCTAGAAGATCGCAAAAAATAACCGGATGGAATTCAAATGCAGCACATGAATGCAAAAACTGATACGTGAATGTATGAGAAAATAATATTTTAATAACGTTTCCATGCTAAAGACGCTTCTGTATTATTTAAAACCGGTCTATAATACACCTGTTTATTACAACGCTAGACATTTCGATAATTCAACAGAAGGCGATATAAAAATATTTAAACAAGTGAAACTCGTCAAATTGTATTAAAGATCCTAAATAATAGTTTCGCATGTTCATTTATCCAGAAATAATACACATAAAACTACGGAATAAATTTGCAACTTTAATATACTTGAATATCGTATAAGAAAACGCCTCTGTATTCATCATTTTGCCGTACTTACAGTATCGAGACATACCGTAAAATTACTGTAAATATATCGCTTTCTGCTGGAGCTCACTCGAGAGGCAAGAAGCGGCAGTGAAAAAATTAACAAGGCAATAATGAAGACTCACCGAACGCCTTGCAGCTTGCACCATGAAGGGAATCCCCGGCGAGCTGAATGATGGCCATGAGAATATCGCCCATCATCAGACAGGCGACATGATGAGTCTGGCAGCGCCAATGCAGAACGTGATGAGAGGCCGGTAGTAAACAGCCGGCCGCCAGAGTAGCAGCCAGGAAAAGAGCGCTGATGATGAAACCCACGGGATACAGGGTGAATCTGATGTCTGTTGTTTTTACAGCAGGCCTAAAAATTTCAAGCAAATTTTAGAACGCTATTTTAGACGCTAATGTTTAAATTTGTTCAACGTAAAAGGTGTAAAGATCTAAAAGGTCCATCTGAAAGTCATGAACTTTTATGAGCTAATTATTGCAAAAAAAAAAACAGAAAATTGTTCTGTTTTGCAGCAATCACTCTTCCTTTTTAAATTTTAAACTTTTATTCGTATAAAATCAATCTCCGTCTACTCAACGATTATACATCAGACAATGGATGTTATGTTAAATAACAAAATCATTTAATCTGATTTTATACTTTATATGTGTTCACACATTAATCGAAGGTCTAAATTAACGAACATATAATTTATGTTTACGACAGTTTTAATGACAATATTGGAATTCAATATACAACTTATAAATATATCACAATGTACAACTTATTCGATAATATGCAATAACTATTAACGTAAAAAAAACGATAATAATTTATCGTTATGTACAAATACATATTTTTACCATAAGTTTCTCTTTTCTCTATTTTCTCTACTTCAAATCGTTTTTTTTCATAGAGTAGTAGTGGCAGAAAAAAAGATTAGCATACATTTAACATGCAAATTCTGATGTCGATCCTGTCGATATTTTTCACTACCTATAACAGACAAAAAGTCGCGGAAGAAAAAGGCAAATTATGGCGCTATTTCTCGTTATTTCTCGCGCTGGCGGATTAATTAAATTCGGGCAGTTTTATCGGCGTCACATCGGCAATTGACCGATTGGCTTACTGCCAGCCATGGGCAGTGAGCCAGATATTCGATCGATTATAACGGAAATAATACCGCGTTATCGACAATCGTTACGTCCGTTTTTAATTAAGATTCCTGGAAGATATTCAGACGGAACCATTTTTCATCGCAATTAATGACATCACGATGTGACCGCATTCAGGACGATTAGGACGAGCGGTATCTGTTTTCGAATCATTTGTATAGTAATTTTAACTCGTATCTGTCACTTGTACATACCTAATACGAGTGAAAGTTGAAGGAAAAGGTCTTTCAAGATCTTCAGAGATTTAACTTGATGTTTACACGAAAAAACTTTCGTGAGATAAAAAAATCTACGTACGTCACAAACACATTATGTAAATATATCCATTGCAAAAAATATATGTTTACGATAAAAGAATATAAAACTCTTTTACTAGTACAGGGAAAAATTACTAAAAATTTTTATTTAAACAGTTCTAAATATTTACTTAGTACTATTCAAAGAAACTGTAATTAAAATTAAAAAAAAAAAAAGAAAAAATTGCAAAAATTGAGTTTTATTCCTGACTTGTAAAATAAAAGATAACTACTGTGCTTTGAAATCCGTTCGATTACATCGCATTGCAAGCGCAACACGTGCATTTAATACACGTATCGTCAAAGATTGAGTTTATCCAATTTTGAGAAAAGTCACCGATTCTATTTGGAAAGCATTCACGGTGGAAAAAAAAAAATCTATCGCATCCGACCACGTTTTGTTCCATTGATTGCCGTTCGCTAGAGTAGTTGGCGAGTAAATTTTTCACAGGAAACAAAATGCTGTGTGTCAGCCAACCCGTATGTACATATATACCATACATATATAGAAACGCAAATAGAATACGAACGGAATAACTTTCTGCAAAATCGATCCTACATTGGGCGCAAATGCACGGCGCTAATCGCATTTTCGACGTTACTTTATGCACCTAACGGCGATTAAACTTTTGCCATAAATTCTCCCAGTAATTTTCGTTAAACACCGTGTCGGCGACACTTCGAATCCGGGAGATAAACACGGTTCATTGGTATACTATCCCCGGTAGCGCGACACATTTTAGCCGAGAATTCTCTTGTTGTATATGTACCATGCGACACTACATGACACTACGTCTGTACGTTTGTACGTCTGTACGTTTCTACCGAAGAGAAACCTCGGATCTTATTATCAGCGATGTCCTGCATGTCTGCCCGTCAATCCATCACGGTTCGTCCTTCGACTTAGCGGGACGTACATGTCTCGACGAATGAGATCTTCTAACCCTATCTTAGGTTACATCCGAATGTAACTTAGTTACATGACGTGCAGATCGTAAATTACCTGACATTTAGCATATTCGATCGTTATATGTAAAGCGAAGTTATCTGTATTTTGTCGCTCATAAAAACAACGCTTGTATAAAGACTCGTAACAATTTCGCATTTCTTTCCAAGTAAAAAAACACTTCACAATCCCATCGAGAAATATTATAATTTTGAAATAACGTCGCTTTTCATATAATAAAAATGTAATATCAGCACTTCTTTATATCTTAGATTTAATTTTTATATGGGATTGTTTTTTTAAAAAACATTCAGAATTTTAGACAGAATAGAGAGAGAGATCAGAACTTCAAGCATGTTGAAATTCTAAGAAAAAGAACAGAACCTCGCAATGCCATTTTTCTTACGCAACACTCGCGAGCTGAAGCGTTTACATCGCTCGTCGCTCCGATGCGCGGAAACACGGTATTGAGTTGTGAGAACGTTTTAATGGAATCTCAGATGACGTGAGCTCTCGGACACACGTGACCTAGAAAATACCTGTCGAGGAGCAATGAAAGTGAGGCGACCCGCGGGGCGTTTCCTCGACGTGTCTCGAGAACGACGTAGAAACGGGATCGTTTATCCCTCGCTTCAGCTACCTAACCGTCGAACGCGCGCAATTAAGTCGTACGATAAATTCAGATCGGAGCAGGCGATACTTAACGGGGCAAAAAGTCGGATCGTGCTTGGAGTGCCTTAAAGTGGGTCGGACGACTTGACCGCCGGAACCGGCCACAAGTCGACTTCATTCTTCATTACGCGGTACGAATGAACGATGATCGAGCGAATAAGAAGAACAGAGAATTAGTTTTGCATAATTGAGGGATTGATATTTAACTTCCTGCGATTTACGCGTACTGCGTACGCTTGATATCGAGTTATCGGACGGAACGGCGAGCGCGTGGAATATATTAAGTTAATAGCGCAACGTGTTACGGAAAAAATTTACATTTATTACTCGATTTCAAAAAACATTAGACAAAAATCTACTTGAATAATTTTCTTAATTTACGATACACCCTTTCATCCTTCCGTCAGCCAACTTGGAGATAAAGTCAACTTGATTTTGAAAAGAACGAATAAATAGACTTAATATCTCCTAAAATAACTTAGCAATATTTAAATTGTGTATGTATAAAACGATTAAAAGACATATTTAGGCTTTCAACACAAATTGCAGACTGTAACACAGTGTGGTTAACCGGAAATAATATTAGTTTATAATTAGATTCAATTATCCTAATAAAAAAGACACAAGTCACCTTTAACGAGCTATATAAAAATTTTCGCGCACAGGCTGCTAGGGAATCAACGCTAGGGAATAATGCGTGGCCAATCAGTGTTTAATTTTTCCGTAAAACTTCAACGTTGATTAGCCAACACATGGCTGTGTTATTCCCTAACATTGACACATGTCCTGTATGCAAAAGCTATACGACATATACACCGAGCCAAACATTTGATCTGTAGGTATATAGATTATGTAACTTTCTCTAGAGTTGAAACGTAAAAAATGAAAATTTTTATGTAGATACGTATAAAAAATATCATTTCTCACGTTCTCGTCCTAGGGAAAAAGTTACACGTTTGAGTCCTTAGCGTGAAACTTTTTTCACTAATGTACAGAGCATGGAACATTCCAACTTTAGTCACCATAGACTTATAAAATATACCTAGCATGCCCTAATGGTAAAAGTGAAGCCAACATAACAGTGAGAGTGAGTGAAAGCAAAAACAACGGTAAAGTATCTCTATTTTTTTCATTAATACTGTGAATATGTACGTGAAGAGAAAGATAGAAATTCACCGATGTTCTGCATCTTTCACCGTTCTGCTGGCTTCAGGTTCAACAGGTTTCATGCAACCACTCGATCTATTTTTCATCAATGGAAAGATTTCATCAAGCGTTTTATAGAACACGCTTTTCTTACTGCAAATCAAACGCTTTTGCATAAGCGCGAAAATATATTAAAAATCCACAGCTTCATTTTAAATCAATTTCAATCTCCAATATATTAATCGATGTTTATATATGAATGGTTTAAGGATGGATTTAATGTTCTATACGTGGAGTTTAAAGGGTTAAAAAAGATATAAACTTTTCTTTTGAAGAACCCATTTGCCATTAATCTTTTTGTTTTTCCTTTTCTTCTCTTCGCTCTTATTTTGGTTTCTAAAATAAAACGAAAATCGCGATTTATGTTTTATTAACCAGTTTATTGAAATTTTTTTTCTAAAACTGGTGAGAGCGAATAATTTCATATTTTACATGGAACTTTATCCATAAGGGTCTTTTTATCGCTAGTGAATCCAGAGTCGAAGTTTTTAAGTTTAAAATAGCGGATCCAACGTAGCACCTAAAAACCATTAAAAAAAATTAAGAACAAAAAGTATAAAGTAAAAATAAATTTAAAAAATTGAAAACAAATGAAAAATAGAAAAAATGGAATATAAAATCCTACCGTGGCTTCCCCGTGACGCACTCTGGGATCGTAATAATATTTCACCAACAATTATGACTATATTTTGGTGGTATACTCGATCAAGTTATTGGTAACTCTATCATATTATATTATAATATTTAATTTGAAAACAGTTATAATTCTATTTTAAGTTATTAAAATTTTGTAAAGAATTTAATGTTCGTTTTGATATAACCTCCCCTCAAAGCTCGATTACAAAATTAACTTTTACAGAAATATATTAAATACACGATTCACGAATTATTAAAAATTAAAAAAGAAAGACTTGGACTATGTATTGTTGTAACTTGTGTAGTAAGCCAAAGTGCAAGGAACAACCGAAATATTGTAAGAAATATGCAACATAAAATTTTGATTTTTTGTATGTTTATTTTAATCTTTGTATATTTATTTTAATTTTGATAAAAATAGAATTTCGTTTTGTAAAAATGATTTTTTTCCATGAATACGACTCGATTTTTCTCATAAAAATCTTCATTTTATATAGTTTTTTTATTTATTCATATATAAAGTTACAAATTGTTATTCATTTCTTCAATTTCTTTACTCAAATTTAAATTTGGAAAAAATAAGCAAAATACAATACGATTTCTATTATTGTACAATAAAAATTTACTTTTGTTAATGGTTTTGTAAGTGTACAAAATTTTATTTAGTTCGGAACAATAATAAAAAAAATCTGCTGTGGACTTCAAAACTCCATATTGTTGACGGAAGATGTAAAATTCCATAAGGCCGATGGAGGGCTAAAATTTGTTTAAAAATAATACTATTAAAAAAAAAATTAAAAAAATATTATAAAAAAAAATATTACACTTTTATTAGAGTAATTAGGTTCAGGTAAGGTCGATATACTCAAACAATATTTAAACAATAATGTAGTGAAAAAATAATTGAATGATTTAATAATTTAATTAAAGAGCCACCGCAAATATCGCCTGTTTTCTAAACCTCTAATTTTGAAGCAAATTTTGTGTCAAATGATTAGTCATAATGAGACAATAATCGCATAAAATTTTTAAGTTGAGCATATGATTGATTTGCAAAATATAGGGAGTTAAAGTGGTGCCTGTTGCTTGAGAAAGTAAGACACTATTGTATTTTCATTAACCTAATATTCATGTTGAAAAATAGTTCCGACAGTATTTTATTGTTTTTTGGGTCGTTAGTTACGAATCTGAAATCTAAATTCCAAAATTCAAAATAACGGATCCAATATCGCGAAATTCACAATAATATAAAAATTGCTTTTAGGGGATTTTCTAGGTTGCTGATTACGAATATAAACAATAAACGAATAACACAATAAAGGATTATTTGGCACACAACCAACAACCAGTGTTTGACTCGAATGGCATTACACCATTAGATACGAATATAAAGTCTAAATTCCAAAATTCAAAATAACGGATCTAGGATGGTAGACACAAATATATTGTAGTTAGATATATTTCATGAATAAATTGTTGTTACCTTGGCTCAATGATTATGGGGGCACACACGTACACAACATGTGATAACTAAAATTTCTACAGAATAGAAATATGTTCGACTTTCATCATTATGATTAAATATTTCGGAGGAAATATTAATGGAATTAATATCTACTATTGGTGCAAGATATACTTTTATAGAAAAAAGGAAACAAAATACTTAGAACAGCAGTCAACTAAAGTAAGATACAGAATTAAGATATATTAAACCTTAGATTCTTAAGCGGGGCAAGCCGTTTACCTAAAAATGTTTTCAGAATAATTCTGTCAAAAGATTTTAATAAATTTTATGGATTTTTCTAATAATAATTTTATATATAAATTCTTAATTAATTGTATTGAAAGACCAACGTCTTATATATGTATACCTACATACATGCACAGTCTGACTAAAATAAAAGTTAGTTAGGAATTTATATATAAAATTATTATTAATCTAAAACATCTAAATTTTTTACTATCTTTGGCGACTCTTTATATATTTATATGATATATGGTATTTACATGTAACGGCCATGATTCTAATTCTGATTCTTATTCTTAGTGTAAACCTTTTCATTAATTTAAACTTAAAATATTTAAAATATACAGAATGTTTCTAGACAAGAAAATATTCTCAACACAAATTCTAATGAGGCTAATCCAACCTCTATTCAAAGTGCATCTACAGAGAAAGAAAAATCATACATACAAGAAGAAAAATTTGAATGTTTAGGAATAAAACAAACAAATTAACCTAAAGAAACCAAACAACAATTCAGAAATATTAAAAGAATCTACATCTCAAAAATTGGACATCATTTACCTACATTCAAGCGACTGACCCCTTATATATTTGGCAAAACCAAGTCATATGCTCAACTTAAAAATTTTATGCGATTATTGTCTCATCATGACTAGTCACTTGGTACAAAATTTGCTTCAAAATTAGAGGTCCAGAAAACGAGCGAAAAAACACCAATTTTGCGGTGGTTTGTTACCGCGTGACGCTGGTCCTTGCGGATCGGTATCTGGACTCTAAAGGCTCTGTACGCGGTCAGCAATACTGTATATTAACGAATACTGACAATATTATTAATCGTGTGTGATTAATGTTGATGGATTGACGTAAAATACTGACGATGATTTGGATTTGAATACATGATTTTTCCTTAAGATCCATGTCGCCATAGATAATATAATAATATACGTCAAATCACATCAAACTGAAGTGAAATATTGTCAATAATACTGATCGTATAAGATTGTAAAAACTAATGCATACTGTCAGTAATACTGATCAGTAATACTGACTCAGTATTACTGATCGTGTAGGGAGACCTTAACTAAATTTTTTATCACGAATACGAATTCGAGCGGTTAGCGGATCCACCCGCGTGGTGGTTTTTGATTGATCGTTGCTGTCAGCATAGCGGTACGTTTAAGTAAAACAATGATAAAGTCGTTAATATTTTTCGGCTTCTATTATAGATTAGTCGAGCGTGAAAATAGAGAGAGAGAGACAAACGCGTTTCTTACATCAAGATCGCACGAAAGTCGAGATGATATACATAATGAACGATCCAGAAGTCTCGTTTAACATCTTAACGGATTTCTGAACAGAATTATAAGTACCAAAACATATTTTCCAAATCCGAGTAAAAATAATAAAAATAAAGATCCCTTACTTATGCAAAACTTATTATCTATCTTGAAATGTTCTTGTATTCTTACAAGTTTCAGATAACATGATAATTACAAATATCGTGATTTATCTTAATGTGTAGAGAAATTTTCTATTATTGTTGTATATATATTGGTTGACATTTTGCAGAGAAACGCTATATAAAAAAGTTCTGCGAGAAATACAAGATATATTACGACATGGTCAATTTCAATTTCGCACTGACCTTTGTGGTGCGTATTCCGGACAGGTAAACACCTTGGCGATCTGGTTGAGTTCCTTGATCCTTTCAACGCAGAACTGGCCGCTAGGTAAAATGGCCCCGTTTATTTCCAAGCTGCCGTCTGGTTGCAGCTCAGCGTCAAGTGCATTTCCGATGATTGTAAAGTTGTCGGATTTTGGACAATTAGGAAATCCAGCTACAATTTCGATGGCGGACGACGCGTTCGGAAGTAAAGGCGGTGCATCCGCAGTTTCCTGCACGATTACGCAGGTATTTCTATTGAATAAAAAAAGATATATTTGTCATGGAGAGCTCATTACAATGAAAAACAGTAGAAGCATCCGCAAGTTATTATTTTCAATTAATTTTTTACGGAAATACATTCTTAATTATATTTTTTATAATCGGGAGCCCCGCATTGCTATTCGCCCTGCTATTCGTCTCGCATGTGGCCGCAAAAAGTGACCACTAGCTTCAGCGTCATCTCATTCAAGAGTACACATTGTTCAATTTTTTCACGCTCTCAGCTGTTATAATGGCGGTATTTTAACGTTCTTGGCAATCCAAGACAGCGAGAAAAAATAAAAAAACAAGTATGAATTATCTATCAGTAAAGAAAACTATTGCGATTGAACTTAATTTTTTGGTGCTGACTATTTCTGAGATAACTAATATAACATATACAGACATATGAAAGAGTTGATAAATATCTTACTCTTCTGTGTCAGTCTCAATATACAATTTTTTATTATAAAATTAGTACGATATTGCGAATAGTTCATTCATTTTGATATGCTAGAATTCGTCGAGAAACTGGCCTGCGCATGCAACATCACATTCTCGAGTACAAACCGGACGAATGCAACAGTCAAGGTCGTTCTACACGTATTTAACGCATTTTACTTAAACACGATACTTGATAACTTTTCTTTTTTATTAGAGAAAATACAAAGTAAGCCATTAGGAGCGAGCCTATCAGGCTTGACTCGATAATTAAACAAATAGCTATGTCAAATCAATGGAAAATTAAATGACTTGATAACTAAACAAATAGCTATGTACCCAATAATTGAGTCAAAGACTTAGAAAATCCATTACTGTTTTATCAAAGATAAATCATTAAATGAAACATATAGTTTGTAACACTGTTTGGATAAGAAACGAAAAAGGTACTGATACCATAAATAAGAAAGTCTTTTATTATGTTGTATTAGTATTATAATATATACTTATTTATTTATATGTAAAATATCTATAAACTCGTGACCGGTGCAACAAACGGATATAATTTTAGTACAATTCACTACGATTTTCTGTAAAAAAAACAATACTTAAAATTTATTAATTTCAAAGTCGCGATATATTTTTTTCTGCGCTACTGCAAACAAAAAATTAATATTACTACATTCAACAAAATAAAAAAAATATTGCTGTAAGTCGGGTGTCGAGTTCACAAAGCCGTTAAAACTCTCTTACTGAGATTCTCTAAAACTTAAACGGTGTCTATACAGTGAGATTTTCAAACATAAATCTGAAGTTTTAAGTTCTAAATCGTAAGAAATTGATCAATCATAATCGAATGTGAGAAAAATACCCTGTTGTACCCTGAACGTTAAACAAGAATAATATACGACATCTGGATGTAAATCTGAACGCACCCATAAGAGGTCTCTGGTTAAAGTGAACACAAAGAGAATGCTTCTGCCCGACATAATTTGAATCTTCGTATTATTTGTACATATGTACACTTCGTATAATAATCAACCAAACCAACCCAGCAATATAATGATTTTGAGGATTGCGAATTAAAGGTTAGAATTCCAATCGGATATCAATTTAATTTTAATTCGTTTCATTCTAATCGACTGAATTCTACAATTCTCAATTCGCAAGTCCCCAATCTCCACGCAGGGTGACACAAACATAAGACACTGAGAGAGAAACTTCTAAGGCTGATCTTCGCTTACCCGCCTTCGTGGAAATTGGCGTGCTCGCCGCAGCAACGTCGTACTCGCGGCCTCATGGTCGCGGCGGCGTGATGGCCCGTCGATTTTTTCGGCGTGCACACGAGCAGACCGGTCGAATCGGAGCAATAATTACTGGGGGAAATGTAAGGACCGGTGGTGGCCTGGCTGAATTCACGCACCGCACTACCGTTTGTGAACATGATGATCGGATTCAGTATCTCTTGTCGCAAGTGGGCTAACTTCGTGTGGTCGTCGCATTTCGGCCATTGTCCATCGACGACGTGCCAGTTGGCGGGCAATTTGCCGCTGGTAAGCAGTGTTTCTTCTTCGATTGAATAAATCATCTGTGCCCACCAGGTTTTCGACGCCGCCGGTCCGCAACGCGGCAACGCGGCGTCGTCCTCAGCTGGAGTCGGAGAGAGCTGGAGTTCCTCGCCGTAACGGCAACACTTGAGAATCCTTAACTGCGACTTCGCCGTGTCGTCCGGTTCCGAGACGACGACCGTTGTTGCTGCGATCGCCACGACGAGCGCGAATACATAACCCGCGAACGCCATAATGATTCCGAGAAATCCGCAGCTACGTTCACCCTTGTCCCTTTCGTATGAAGTTCGTTAACCACGAAGATCGCGCGAGTTCCGAAATCTTCCACGGAAAACGATCGCGCGCACCAGCACTCGAATCGATCAAATCGATGCCATTCCGCGAAATCGCGACATTCGCGACGCGAACCGAAGCGGTCGACGAGAGATTTAAACGAGAGTCCCGTTTGTTAGGCGCTTATATAACGCTCGTCGAACACGTCTCTCCCGTCCGAAGGCTTCAGCGTTACTGCGTGCTCGGCTCGGCGCGACATGTGGTCCGCTGCTCGAGCAGCAGCGTGACTCCGGGATGCGCGCGCAGCCGCACGCCACGCTCGCGGGCCTCCCGCCCTTAACCGACCTTATTCAACCACCGCGCGCACGCTTCCTCCTTTTCTCAACGGCGACCTTCGCTCGCGTTGCTCCGATGAAAGGGGCGAGAATTCGCGACCACGTGTCTGCGCCCCCCGCTCCGCTATGTACAAGCCGGAAGTACAACGGTAACGCGCGTGACGCTATTCCGTTTGCGGTCGCGAGTTTTGTATTATGACCGAACGTTCCACGCAAATCAGGGATGCGAGGATGGGTGGAGATTCGACTATTCGTTCGTTATCTTCCACCAATTTTAACGACCAATTTAAATGAGCTTCCGTTGACCAATCGAAGGAAAGAATTTTAGGAATTGACGAATCAAAAAGAATCGCTCTCCCAAGCATTTGCAACGTTAATTAAATAAGTGGATTGCATTCTTTATCGAAATTCCTTTAGCGTGAGATGAAATGAATTTTTTTATCAAATATTTATCGATTTTGATAGAGGAAAAACCCGACTGTGTGTGTGTGTGTGTGTGATATGTGAATAATATCCGTTTTTATCAATTGAAAGTTTTAAAAGCCTCACTTAAAATTAAAATAATCTGATAATTTTTTCATTCTTAGAACCAGAAAAAGATGAAATATTACACACATTGGTAGAAATAATTATTATAAGCTCTGGGGCCCTATTCTTAAAAATATCGCATACAAAAATCTAGAGAAATACTATAGCATATGCTATAGTATTTTCCTAGTATACTATAGTATTCTCTCTCTTAATATTATTTTTAAGCGAACATCAAAACTTTCCCTTTCTCTCTCTCTCATCTTAAGAGAAAGGAAGAAAGAGATAGTTTACAATAAGAAATTATCGTTAATTCGATACTGTATTGACAATTATTTGATCATTCTGGGACGTCAAGGTGATCTGGAAATCGACATCGACTTGATGATTATTTCTCACTAAGAAACCTCAATATTACGAATGTATTAATATATTCTGGGAATTAAAGACCTTTATATATACGATCTGCGTAGTAGTTTCTCGAGTAGATAACGGCAGAAAATATACACGTGGTACAACGTGCAAAGTATTATAAATCGAGACGATTTGAAATATGCATTTCTCAGCGTGACTAAGCACAGATCCTGCAAGATACATATTTCCGAGAATCGTTCGCGTCGGTTAGTAAGAATCTATGAGAAAATATACAAGCGTGTGTCCTCGTCCGCTACCTTAAGAGCAAATGTCATCCTGAACATAACGGACGATACGGAATTCTCTTGTTCGATAGCATTATATCGACGACGAAGCTTCCTGAATCGGCAACTCACCTGGCACGACCTGTTTCCTCGGCGAAACGAGCGGATAACTTCTCGATCGCGCGAAGGTCGGCAGTGATTACGACCGAAGAATCAGCGTAACAACCAAGATCGACTCCATAAAACACGCTCAGTACGAATGCGGCTGGTGGAACATCACCTCGTGAAGGAAGTGAATGCCGCTCGTTGGTTGTAATTTACACTCGTTGGGCGTAAACCGGCTGTGCTGCATCGATTCCACGAAGAGGTTGTCGAGAACATGCTTACGCTAACGCTTTTCTAAAATTAATAGATACATGTATGCATATAGAGTCATAAATATCTTAGAACATGGGTTTCCAAAGTATCGTCTAATGGAAAAATTTTAGAATATACTTATTAAATTACATTTCGTTCTTAGAACGTATAAGGAAATAATTTCTTCTTAGAGTTTATCCTGGCTCGTAGGACAATATTATATGTTGAAGAATTTTATGTAATTCTCGCATTCACTAAGAATATTACGATAAAATATAAAAATAAGTTTAGTTGATTTTAAGTGCATGATAAGAATCTTTAAAATATTTTATTATATTAAAATTATCATATTGTATTTTCAGAGTAAATTCTAAGAAAATATTCTCTCTGTGTATATTTCTAAGATTTCGTTTCTTCGCATATAGTTGTATGTATGTGTTTTTTCACGACTTCGCACACATGTGAAGTTAAATTTTCAAAGGGGGGGATCAAAATTTCAAAATAAATTAATATTATTAAATTTCTAAAAATCTCTTGCATCGAGTTAACATTAAAGCTATTAACAAAAATAGGAAATAGAAACGTTTTTTTACACTTGTGCTCTAAAAGGACTCCAATATGAATTTAAACGTTAAAGCACTTATGACTGTGTACATCATAAACTTTTAGTACATATAGTTATAAGTTTTATTTAATAAGAAAGTTTTTCTAAAACAATATCCTTTCGCTTATTAAGAAAACCTCAGTTTTTGTACAATTTTCCTCAAAAGAGTCGGCAAATGCAACCGTCCAAGTCGACCGGAAATGCTTTAAAAAGTTCCGCGCGAGCAGCGCCGGCGGGACGCCAGCAATTAAACTTTTTCGCCATCTCGCGACAGAGAAAATTGGAAATTTGTGTCCCCGCTATGGCCGCCTACCAGCGTCTGCAAAATTTTATCAATTAAAATATCGTTAACGTCCGTGCCTAGCCGAAACGAGCTCGTTAAAACGCTTCGCGCAGGATAACTGCCTAGGTGAGCTCTTTCTTGTTCTAGCTTGGAACTTCCGTCGAAGCTTGAGAATAGAGTGAGTATAATACCAATTTTTTATTGCAGCGCCAGAACAGATACAAAGTGATCCCGGGGTTTGAAAAAACGTTATATTTAGAACCACTGTATTTAATTAAAATTAATTGAATTTTTATTTATAAAAATTTTTTTTTTATCAGAGAAACTGTATATTATAAAATTGTAATATAATAAAAGTATGATGTGAAAATTTTAGGACAATTAAAATACAATATTTTAATAATGCTTAAATTTATTTCAGAGTTTATAGTTGATTTATATTATGTATTATATTTAAAGTTATTTAAAGATATATAACATTTATTAATTTTAAATAGCTATATTACATAATCTTTTTTACTTTAGTGAATGATGATGAAGAATTAGTTCAAATATGGTGTATTAAACATAGTATACTAAAATTTGTCGGCACATGAAATGAGAACTCAGAGAACTGGATCTATAGACAACAAAAAGTCGAAATACTATCTTTTAGACGTCTTTAAGACGTCTCTTAAAAGAAATATCTGCACCTTTTAAGCACCTTTTAAACATTTTATTTAGATATGCGTGTAACAAATGTAATAAAAAAATATATTATGTAATGTGCACGCACGCACATTACTCATGTTTTAATTCTGTGAAGTGTACAACTCTCGCACTATTATATAATATTTTATCAAACTAATAGCTATATGTTACTGTATCGTTTAATTAAAATTATCAAAATTCCATTGAAACTTGAGGAGAGAGTTGAGAATTATTTCCGTAGCAACACATATATAGAGGATATATCAGGAAGTCGAGTCATTTTCCAAAATTTCCTAGCAACGTGCCGGTGCAGAGGTTAATAGGATGGCACGAAATTCAGATAGAGGGAGAGTTGGAGGTAGTATCGTAGCGGCACGTAAATCACAGCGATCGTCGGTGTTCCTGTATGCGCGTGTGTTTCCCATGTGAATTATAGCGCGCCCGCGCGCGGTCGGACGCGTGAGCGTGCGTTCGTTAATAGGTTTGCACGTGCGTGTCCCTAAACGTAATACCGATTTTATCTGTCCCCTTGTCTACGCAGGCTGGCCGGTTGGTCGGTTGGACGCGACGCGCGGAGGGTAGAGAGCGGCAGCCAGACAGTTTGATCCAGGTTGCGATCCCGGAAGTCAAAACTGCGAAATCGTCCGGTTTTCGGATTGATTACCGATCGTTAAAAGCGATCGAACGAAATGTCGCTCGTACGCATAAAAATGAAGCGCCCCTCGATGACGGAAGTGCGCGCGGTGCGCTTCCGCTATTACGCCGCGGAAGATAATCGAATCCGGGTAATTTCGCTTCGCTAATGAGGGGGTCACCGCTGTAAAATACTGTGGAACGTGCACTGTAAACAAATGCGATACAGTAATATTCTGTGGAGGATATTTTATCTGGGTGCCATCTCTCTCTCCGCGGACTAATTGAATATCGGAGTTATCGATGTTGTTTCGCTTGCGAAGCCTTTCCGATTACAATGAAACGCAATGCATATCTCATCATACAGTCAGTTAAAATAACATAACATGTGCGAGAGATAATGTTCATTACTTTTTATTTATATGAATTTGAACTTCCCCGATACATTTATTATAAGTTTGCATATTTGTATGCAAAACAGTTTGCCGATAATATATTTGCTTTTATTGCTCTATTTAATTTAATTAATCGTATATATTTGTATATAAACATTATGCGCGTATATAAGATTTAAAGTTAAATGTAGTTTGTCTTAATTTCATATTTATTTATTGCACTTGTAATATATTTACAATGTAAAGATATTTTATACTAATTAGAATAATTATGCTAACAAGCTTGAAGATATAAATCCTTCTTTTGTCTCTTATTATAAATATTTAGAATTTTATAACTTTGTTAATTTATATATTGATATTGTATAATAATTATTTTATTATATATATATAATAATATATATGTATATAATGTAATATATAATATATTATGTGTAATATTACGGATAATATTAAATATAATATTTTTAATATATATAAAAATAAAAATATAAAATATGGTTTCCCGAGATAAGTTACCATTTACTTTTATATTCCTTCACATTCGGAAGTTTTAATTTTCTATAATCAACTTTCTTTAAATCCGAAATGTACATACATATGTGAGATGACAGTCAGAATTGAATCCAGAATTAACTTCAACTCGACTGCTTTCACAGAAGTCATTTCTTTCGATATCTATACATCATATTATAATAATATATGTATGTTATAATTGGTATTATATATTTCAAATTGTATGATATTAAAATTAGCATAATAATTAAAGAAGCTAAATATGGATTTAGTTTGTTTAACTATTATGCATTAGTTTATTTAATTATTATGCTTTTACTAAAAATGTAAAATATATTACATATTGTGAATTATGAGCAGTTATGCTCACAATTCACGATAATATATTTTAGATTATGCATAATTTTTATCGTATGCATCAGCCTGCGCCCAATAATTAAGTATCTTTCGTTGAATTTTTCCATTTGAGATACGTGGCATCCGGTTAAGAAATATTACACCACCGTAAAGTTCTTTATCTGGACCTAATTTTTCCATTACCCATTGTTCCAGTTCCTCTTCCGTTACCTATAAAGCAAAATAATGTCAATCTTTCGTACAGAATTCCGATCGATCTCAAGACAAAAGTCAGCTTTCAAACCTCTTTTCCTGGCACCTTCAAAATAAACGCTTTTGGATATTTATTCTCAAAAGCATGTGGCATAGGTACTACAACGGCCTCGAGCACTGCAGAATGATTTTGTAACACGGCCTCAATTTCCACCGGTGATATCGTCTTCTTTTTGTATTTAAATATTTGATTGATCCGCTCGGTGACGAAAACATTGCCATCTTCATCATAATAGCCTACATCTCCAGTTTTGAACCAATTTGTTATCCATTCCTCTACGTGAATTGATTTAAATATATACTTTTTCATTAAAAATAATTATATATGATATTATTTATGTTATCATATCTCATAAACGCAATTATAAATTATGAATTACAAGAATTTGTGACTATTACCGCAGTAATTCACACTGGACGTATCGCTGTAATACTTTCTCATCATATATGGAGAACGGCACCAGATTTGGCCTCGCATGTTTGGACCTAATGGCTTTTCTTTGGCTGAGGGATATAAAGATGTGATCATCAATCGAACGTTTTCACCCACGTAACCGCTGGATCCAATCTTTCCGGTTCTTCGTTGGTAAGCTATTATGCCTGTTTCAGTTAGATCTGAAACAACTCAATGATTTAAATATTGCATCGTTATCATTGATTTTTTTATTACAATTGTGACGAGATGTACACACTGTATATTTGAATAACAGAAGCGTTTGGCAACAACTTGATAAGATTCGCGTGAATTCCATGATTAATGATCGAGCCACCAAATAAGAATTTCTTCAGAGAAGAGACATTGTATTTCGTAAGATCGATGGATTTAACCAGTTCGGTGCACATATCAGTTTTAAGAAACATCCACGTTACCTGAAATAAATAAATATTTTATACATTTTACACTGCGTATTTTTTATATTTCATACGTATATCTCAGACACACAAATTTAAATATCTTTACCTTATACTTTTCTATTAATTTGCACACCTTACTCGCATGGAACATTGGCTTGACTTTAATCGCTGTCACGTGCGAAGTGATGGCGCGAACAGTCAAGAACATGCCGGTAATGAAACCGAAGGATTCGAACCATAATCCAATGTCGTTGCAACTCATAAAGGGTGCCTGCTGGTTCGACGGAGCCATGAAAACTGATTGCGGAATATCCACGTCTTTGGGAAGGCTATCCGTACCCGAAGAAAACAGTATCATCGCAGTTTCTCTTATACTTATTAGTGGGCAGGAAAAGTTGTTAACGGCATTCTCATTGAACGATTGATAATTCAGAATTGAGTGAAGACTCTCGAAAACTTCGTGATGATCGAAAACGATGATTTTCGGCAAAGACGCAGATTTACAGTTACTCTTAACTTCGAAGGCAAACTGAAGAGTTGCCATAGCAAAACTTGCGCTGGTGAAGATTACTTTTGGTTTGACTTTCTTCAGAAAGTAATCTAAATTTTCTATACATATCTTTGATAATAAGTAAATGAGAGAAAAAATAGATCAATGAATAATCGTAAGGAGGCAATCTGTACCTTTGACGTGATATTCATCTAACGGATTCACTTTACATCCGATGTATAGACCCGCCAGAAGTGGTACGTAAGCATTTAATTGATTCATAGTGCAAACCGTTATTACATTATTACGACAAATATGCTGTTTTTTCAACCATAATGCACACTTCACGCTCTTCTCTCTCATCTCTTCGAACGTAACTTCTTTTCCTGTTTCTGCATCGATCTACAAAATATATTAATCGTATTACTATCTAATAATATAATATTTTGCAAGCAAAGTGTTATTTTTAAAATATTTCACCTGACCAATGAAACTTGGATTAGATTTCAACGCGTTCAAAATATAGTTTCCGATATGTTTTTTGGTCCGTTTATTTGAAATTTCTTCACAGAATGGATCTGATGTTGTTTTACCTACCAAAATATTTCTTATTATCTGAAATGGAGCATTATTGTTTGTCTCCTGAAATATACGATACGTTTTTAATTCTTATAATAAATTTTAATAAGTTTTTATGTAACTCTTTTATAGAGTAGATACTTACATCTTGATATAAATTAATATCTTCTACATCATCTTCTATATTATCCTCCATATTAGAGTTATCTTTTTTTACTTATATTGCACTTAAATTGAACGTGAATGTAGGCTGAAACTTTTATTAACTGAGACTTTTATTAAAATAATAGACACTAATGCAAAAATGTGTGAGCCCCAACTTCTATTGAGACATTTATTTACAATCATGTGTGAGATGTCCTCGGATTTAAAAGTAAAGCAAAAATATTTTGCTCGGGAACATTAGTTTCTGAACTTGAGTCAGCTTTGAGAGAAAGAGCGAGAGAGATAGTATATAAGCAGATAAATATACATTGTATAACAAGTAAAGATAAAACTGTCGCGCGCGTAAAATGTCGATAAACCATAAGAAGGAGTTACTCATGCGGCACGGTGAACGATAAGAATTTTCGATTTCGCCGCGATGCTGGGAAGTAAGAATCGTTTCTATACCTAGTTCGTGCAGAAAGCAAGAAGAGAGCCTGGTAGATCACGAAGCTAATCTCGAATCTTGTAACTGTATAGCGTATCTCGCGGGAGATACGTAGTCGATCATATGGACAAGAGAGAGTCCCAAAGTTTAAATCCCCGTGCGCGGGTGGAGTGGATTAACACGCTTCCTCTCGATGAAAGAACGGCCCGTCACCATCGCTTTAGATAATCTTGCCACAATCTCCGGCGAACCTGCGTACGAGCCACGCCAAGCTCGTCGGCTTGTCGTGACTTTTATCTGCATTATGCATTCTGTCGCGTGCACTTAAACGCATAACGGGGATTACCGTCCGGTCGTTACGGCACGACAAGCACGTTTTTCTAATCGCAATTTGCTTTATCAAATTAATCGCGGGAGATCGCGCCGATAAAACGTGCGGTAATACACCACGTTGCCGAGCAATTGAAGATTATATCTTGGTGGGTTTGTGTTCGATGTCCCCCCCCCCCCCCCCCTCCCCCTTTTGATTGAAATAACTATGCATATTTGGGAATGAGAAGCGTCACGCGGAGAAATTTTGAAGATCAGAACTCTCCGGTTTTTAGTTAATAGGCGCTACGAGACCGAAGATTTTGCAATTAATGCAATTAGCGCGGCAGCGCCCTTCGACTCTTCACAAAGATGGTTAAAACGAGCTTCGTTAAAGGGCTTCCAGGAATCTTTACCAGACAATAATGTTCCTTAGATGGTGCCTGAGTCCTAACAGAACAAGTAATAATGAATTATTATCGGTCGATAGCTTTCGTTATTCCACATTATATCGATTAATGCGACAAAATAAAAAGTATGCAAATCTCAACGATTTGAATGAAAGCGTTACACGTTATATCTAACAGACCGCTTAGCAAAATGTTGACTTTCATTTTTGTATAAAAGTAAGTTACCCCTTCTCTCTCAGGGGCGAAGTTACTCGAGAAAATCTTGAATTGGATCGTCGCGAGTGAAGACAAGCATTTTTCGCGCGGAAACTTAGTACTTAAAAAATAATTTTCCCCGAAACGCTATAACTTCTCCCGCCCCAGCCGTTTCTGAACGAAGACATTTACAACGGAGGATCGTAAGATTCCATAAGATTTCCCATGTAGTGTCCCGAGTCTGTTTTGGCGCGAAAACTCAATCATAATGGCCTATAAACGGCGGCCATAAAGATCATAACGGTACATTAAGCTCGCTATCGTTGGTGCACTAACGTCGTCGCTGATTCGGTCGAAACTTTTACGGTATAATCCCTCGCCTACCCGCAGCTTTTCTCCCATATAGCCACCGAATTGCCGAAGACGCCTGAAGAAGATTTAAAGCCGCATTACAAACTCTACCGTGTACATATCGCGAGCATGCTCGGGGCGTGCTACTATGCTAATAATTTATAGCGCGCGATCGGGATGTCGCTGCATCCAGAGGCGCATATTTGAATTTACAACTTGCCTACGTGCTGAAATTCAGTGTAAAGGCGTGCCATATGCTATCATCCTATCTAGTCTTATCTTTTTTGAGTGCGCACACGTCTTCAAGAATTATATTTAATATAATGAATAAGGATACGCAGATGAAGAATTTCGATCAAGGCGGTTATTTACGACTAATAATGTCTTCTTGTGAGTTTATGTATAATAATTTTCAGTTCGAATTGTATAAATTTACAAGAATTTATAATTATAAAGAATCGTCTTGTCCAAATATGGCAATGTTCACTCACGTGCGTTTAATCTTATCAGTCGATTTTCACTCAAATCAATAAGAATGTCCGATTAAATTTTCCAGTAACATTTTTCCAATTAAAATGCAGCAACAGTGGATAACAAGAAAAGTATTCTTTCGATGATAAATGATTATAAATCAACGAATGTTTCTCAAGAGACGTAAAAATAATATGAAACCTTTTTAGATATCGTTAGATAACAAATGTCGTTATTCACCGAAGCAGATTTTCAGAAAAGATCGTTTCTTCATTGCGTTCTTTGTTGTTTGAAAGGGTTAGTCTCGTGATTAAAATCCTCGGCGAACGCCACCGCGCGACGAACGGCAAAATATTCATCACGTACGAATGACGTGAAAAAGAAAAGCGGTTGGCTCTTACTTTCTTTCGAGGACAGGTCTTTTCGCAAGAGGGTCTCTCTGTAAACTCAATTTTCTAACGCGCGCGCGAGATAAGGGTCGATCTCTTCCGCAAGCTCCATCGCCGGCCGGCGTTGGTTGCCACCCTCGTCACTTTGATATCGATGAGGGTAATTTACGCGAACATTGTTGGCGAAGAAGATTGATGCGTCGAGTGCGTGCGAGGGCACCGAGAGGCTCCCGGGGCCCGTTGTACCCCCGTCCATTCTGACATTTCCTATGCCACTCTCTCTCTCTCTCTCTCTCTCTCTCTCTCTCTTGCTGTCCCTTGTTCTCTCTTTCTTTCTAGTTCTGCCTGCTGCATGATGAATTGCATTTCGACACCCTACGCCCTGCGAACGATTGTCCTGCGAGACTGCCGCGTCATTCGGCGTATTATTGCACGCGTGAAACTGGCGCCTCGCCTCTCTTCCGCGTTATCACGATTAAATGACGCCGATGAGCGATATACTTCTCCTCGCTCCTTACTGCGAGGAAATCGATGACGCTGGCATCAGCAGTTTTTTAATGGAGTAAAATGACGTGTTATTGTAACTGTTATATAATAGAATAGTGTTTGCGTGAAATCACGACGTACGTCTGTTTCGTTCGTTTAAAAAGTTTAATAGTTATGCGCAAATGTTTTGATTAAAATTTGGCTACTTTGATTATACATATTAATATTATACAGTATTTAACTATATAACTCTACTAATATATACTTAATGTAAAATTTATTATGTGTTATTTTTTATTATATTTCTGTATAGTTTTATATATTTATATAACGATTGAATTCTGAAATCTTACGATTTCATAGATGAAATAGAAAGCTGGTGTACGTCGATTTCCTTTTGCCTTACATTATCATTTTGTCAAATGATTCATTTGTATAGAAAATTACTTTTCTACATTTATGCGTGTGTATGTGTATGCGTGTATGAATACACAGCAAAGCAAATATTAAGCGACGTACAAAATATAATAAGCTGGAACACTGAACATCAATTTCATAAATTTTTCCAGAGCTTTGGCAAATTTGACGTAATCCAGGTAATATCTAAATTACATAAGTTCTATTCTCTTCTATTCTTTCTTTCTCTTTCCGTCCTTGTTGCAATATTAAAACTGCTAGATGTCAAGAAAAAGGCAGAGTACCCTAAAAGAGAATTACAATCGTAGACATATTGGATTGAAGAACTATAAGTGAACGATGTGTGCTACTCTTTCGCGATCATTCCTACTTTTATCTGCGATCGCGGCATTGAAACAGCTATATGGAGACACGTGTAAGCGCGTGCACAGTGCACCCTTTAGATGATGAACAGATATGAGATTATTACTAGACCGTACATATAAGGAACGTAGCAAAGCCTGAACCGGTATATGGTATGTGTTTTCGCGTGACTATCCAACATCCAAGTATCTAATTACTGCACTCTGATGAAAGCAGTGCCACACTTTTAACTTTATCGTGCTAATGGCTTATGCTTCGACTACCTTTTTTAAATCACTGCAAAGTAATAAGGAAGAAATCTCTTTCATCGTGGAAAATAACAGAAGAACCTATTTCAGCTTTTAATAAATAATGATAATATATATCTGTAAAAAACATTGTTTACAATGTTTACATCAACTATTGCATATAATTTTGTATCTTTTGAGTGCAAAATAAATCGTAGGATTATATGTTATTACGAGATTACTGTAACTAATTTTTCAAGAATTGAAGATATTGTCTATCGAGCAACATTATTAACGGTAAAAACTCTCTTCTTTTATTTGTCACATTATCGTATATTTGTCGTTTATAAAGTATGTGCGAGACTGAAACGTAGAAGTGCGCATGACATTCGAGATTTCAGTGTACTCAACCGTTCGATTGTCTCCGCGCGTTACAACTCGCTGTAACAGCTTGCAGCAAAGTTTACCATGTGCCGACAGCCGCGAGGCTTGCCCGAATACGCAATCGCGACGCACAAACGTTCACCGTGGTGGATATACGCGACAGTACGTTTATTCATGGCGTGCTAAAAAATTCATGGAAATATCAAAGTTTAAGTATCCGACAAAGATCTCGGCTGCGGGCTGTGAGAATGACGGTTGAAATATCCACGTTGCATCGGATGAGCGTAAAAGGGAAGGCAATATGCACGCCTCGCGATGCAAAAGTCATAAAGCTTGTGCATAAATGTATGTGATTTATGCGGCGGAAAGGAAAGAGCATCCGGTTTTCATTCTCGATAACACTCGACCATATCGAATGACGATCGTTCGTTCACGATCGTCTTTCGATATCCGTTCATTGCACATTAATTGCTGACATAAAATTCATTAATGCATTTATCTACACTGCGAAAAGCATGCAAATCGAACACATAAACTTTGAAGAAGGTGACAAACGTATTTATACAATAACATTAGATATATGTTCACAGATTTAATATGCA